GATGATGCATGACTATAACTCCGTTCACGGTAAGAGTTTGTTGCCCAAGATTTCTTTTTCCATATGCATGGACAACCTTTTTGTGGCGAAAGAGATTACTCGCATTTGCAAACGTTTTACCTCAGATGTCACATTCATAAGACATGTTTACTTCTCAAGAGTCAGAGTAAAATAATTTAAAGCAAGGGTGAAAAGTTATATTTATCCCGTTGGTTATTGTGGTGAAGACTAGTGTCATGACTAGTAAAACTATAGACATGACTATTAAGACTATGGTGAAGACTATAGCCATGACTATTAAGACTATAAACATGACTATTAAGACTATGGTGAAGACTATAGTCATGACTATTAAGACTATATTCATGACTTTAAGACTATGGTCATGACTATTAAGACTATAGTCATGACTATTAAGATTACAGTCATGACTATAGTCTTAATAGTCATGACTATAGTCTTAATAGTCATGACTACAGTCTTCACCATAGTCTTAACAGTCATAACTATAGTTTTATATATAGTCATGACTATAATCTTTACCATAGTCTTAACAATCATTATTATTATTATTATATCTATGTCTATAGTCTTAATAGTCATGACTATAGTCTTCACCATAGACTTAATAGTCATGATTATAGTCTTAATAGTCATGACTATAGTCTTAATAGTCATGACACTAGTCTTCACTACATGTAGTCTTCATAGTCGTGACAATAACCAACGGGATAAATATAACTTTTCACACTTGCTTTAAATTATTTTACTCTGACTCTTGAGAAGTAAACATGTCTTATGAATGTGACATCTGCAATAAAACGTTTGCAAATGCGAGTAATTTCCTTTGCCGCAAGAAGGTTGTTAATGCATATAAAACTCGTAATCTTGGGCAACAAACTCTTATAGTGAACGGAATTACTGTCATATGGGTGAAATCTCTCTTGGAGAATGCTCAAACGACTATAAATCCTGCTCCTCAACGTATTATTTGGCGTTATGTTCAATGGAAACCCTCCTATTTTGATATGATGAGAACGATGCCTGGAATCAAGTTTGATCAAGGCATTCCCGATGATGTCGACAACGCAGATCACTTGGTCGTATCACAGCGGAATTTGATCGTATTGGATGATCTCATGGCACAATCTACAAGGATAAAAATATTGCTGATCTTTTTACGAAAGGAAATCATCATCGAAATTTGTCTATCATCTATATTGTCCAAAATATATTTCATCAGGGCAAAGAAATGAGAAATATTATCAGCCTTAATGCCCATTATATCGTGTTGTTCAAATCACCAACAGATAAGCAACAAATTTCTGTGCTTGCCAGACAAGAAAATCCCGGGAAAGTACAAGATTTTATGAGGAGTTATGAAGATGCTACGAGCCGACTTCACGGGTATTTGATGTTGGATTTAAAGCCAACAACTAGTGACCAAGATCTACTTAAGACGAATATACTTCCCGGCGAGATTGCAAAGTTTATAAAAAAACAGTCGTATCGACAACCACCGCTTGTAAATGCCATGTATGATGCCGAGCAGCGAATGAAAGGAATCATGGATGCGCCACAGCTTAGCGCCGTGGAAAAAAGCAAATTATATTCTGATCATCTAAACAGGTTTTTGACATTCAAACATAAGATGGCTCATTCTTCTCTTAAAATTCCTGAAACCTTTGTTCAAACTATCCCACAAGCGCCTGCAGAGATGCCACAACCCAATGAGTCTGTTGAGGTAGCACTACCAGTGCTTGCTACTCCTAAACCTAAGCGCGATTTGTATAACCCGCCTGCCTGATTAGTGTACAAATATGTTGTACTTTAATATATGCATGCACCCAAGCGTTACTAATGACTGGAAACACATAGCAACGTATATAACGACCGCATATTTGTTAAGAAACATATTTTGTATGGCAAATATATTACAACTGTCTTAAAAGTTTTTTTTCCTTCAAGCATTTTTGATAAGCTTTTTTATGATCTGACTCGCCATCTTAACAGCATATATGTACGTAGGAGATTTGCCAAATAACGTTAAACAACATGCAAGTATTGACCATAACAACGACGTTAACAACTATGTTAACCGGGCATTAGCAACTGTTTAATTCTGTTTAAAATATGTCTCGATTATTGTGACGAATAGATTCATCGTTATAGTTTTGTAAACATACGAAAAATCCTTCAATATACCTGTGGAAATTTATCTTTTCCGAGCAAAGATACGGCTAGAATTCTCCTATATATTAATTTCGATAACAATTTTGCCATGTGAGGGGCTCGAACTATTCACAGTAAGTCAACATTAATCCCTCTATTGTACCACACACGTGGAGGGATGCTAAAAAATGCCTAGTCAACACGTTTCACACGACCTCGTCCAAACTTGCCCGCGTAACCTCATGCATATAATTATGACGTATTGTATACTAATGAGTGACGTCAACTCCACCACCTCCCTCCACCACACTCCGCCCTTCCTGAACCCCTTCTCCTCACTCCTCCTCACGCTTCCTCACTCCTCCTCACTCCGTTCTTCTCCACCACACTCCTCCTCACTCCACCTCACAGTATGAATATTAATTAGCGCACCCTCCCTCACCCTCAGCACCCTTACGCACCCCCATTTGTATAAATATTAATTACCGCACCCTTTCTCACTCTCATTGTATGAATATTAATTACCTCACCCTCACTCACCCTCATTGTATGAATATTAATTACCTCACCCTCACTCACCCTCCTTCACCCTCAAAAATCCGGCCCGATCTGCCTGTATATTACTACTGACGTCTTATCAATCGTCGGTTTTTACCGGACTGTCAAATTGTGGAATCGTCGGTATATGTACATTAGTTAGCCTTAGTAGTTTTGAAAATATTAGATAATTTAAGCTCTCAATTGATAAAGTATATAATATAAAAAACAGTTAGATAGTGTGTTTAATCCAGAACGGACATGCTCGTGGAGTTTTATCTGCGGTTGTGGCTGTCATTGGCAGCAAAAAATAAGTAACAATCTGTGTATAGAAAAACCTATTATTTCAGTAGGGGTGGTGCCTTGCATGGGACTTTTGTCCTGTTGGCACCTCTACCTATTAGTCTGTCTGCTGTTTATTTCATTACTATTGTATATATAATAATTATTTGTATATATATATATATATATATATATATATATATATATATATATATATATATATATATATATTTATATATATATATTTTTTTTGCA